CCACTAACGAGCAGTTCATTGCATATTTGACATTATTCGGTGATGGGCAACCAGAGCGAGCTGCATTGCCGGTGCTAAAGAAAATTTTGGAAAAAAAGCGTGGTGGGACTTTTGAATGTACACCATCACGGAAAGTTTATTGAACTATTATGTATCCTACAATTTTTAGGTGTGAAAGCTGTGCAGCTTTTCTCAGATGCTAAGTATCTCCGTGACTTGATCATCAGCATACCTGACCGCGTAATTCTTTCTTTAGTCGAAGGCCTTCTTGCCATACCAGTATGTTCTATATTGAAATCAGTGATAGCTTCCTCATATTGTAGTATTGTTCTCGAGATTCAGGTAGGACCAGAGGCCTGTGAAGCAGCCTCAAAAATTCTTCTTGATGGCACAGATATGAGGCCAGCCGCAAATCCTGCCGTGATCTTTGCCTTGTTAGGAAAAGATGAAACAACATTTACTGATCTGGTTGCTTCGAAAAGTGTGAGTCTATTATTTTGGAATTTATCCATATTTTCCATCTGTATGACTACTGTTGAGACCTATCATTTTTCTCGTCATTTTTCCTGCAGTCAATTCTTTTCAAACAATGAAACATCGGGGATATTTGCTGCGTTTTATAATTTTAAAATGAGAAGAACTAAAGTTCTTTTTTTCGCAAATGTATGTCTTGGACATCAGAAAATCAAATGCGGGCATGGAAATAGTGCTTTTTCACAAAGTGTGCACTTATCTCATAAGATACTTTACAAGCATATAAGAACGGTCCACAAAATCAAGATGTAGCTTTGTTAATTCTTTTTTTGGAGATGTTTTGTTTTTAGCTTGCTAATGAGTTAGCCTATCTTGAGCGGGCGACATTGATGTTGGAGGCCATGCCAGATGCGGACAGCAAGTTGATGGAAGCTGTCAGGTGATTATTGTGCCATTATTGCGTGAGAAGCACATAGAGTAAGCAGATAGAGTTGTATACAGCTGCAATGCAGAGAGTATCCAACATGCTTATATCTGAGTTTTGCCGAAGGTCATTCAGCTTTTTTCTCTTTTTGCTTCTTTTGCAAGTTCCTGTTGTTATTTGCATTCTATAGTGATTTGTTTCATCGAGATTCGTTTTCAATTTAGAAAACGCCTTACTTTGCTACAAACCCCTGCAGAAGATAGCAATAGAAGCACGCCTGAACCTTTCGAACAACAGAATTCCTTTATTGTTCATAGAAGAAGGAGGTGAAATAAAATTGTAATTTTAGAAAGTAGCATTTTCAACAGTAATAATTATTGCCTGTTCTTATCGATGACCATTTATTTCCCTGCCTTTCAGTTCCTGGTGTATATTTCATGTTGGATTAATCGTATAATGTGATAGATTTCTTGGATATCGGGTTGTTAATTTGCTGAGCTAGAATAAATATCTCATTTGGTCTAGTTACTCTGTGTAGGAGTTGCGCTTAACTCTATATATTGAGTGCGAGCATAGAGTGTTTGAAATGTGACGTATTCTACCAATATTTCTCTCCTATTTTTTTCCGACTCTTCTTTTAGTTTATAATAAACGATTTGTAAGGATTATTTTTAGATTTCTCAATGAATAAAAGAAAAAGTGAAGTATTAGCCGGTCCGGAGCCTTGTTGCTCGAAGAAGTCCAGTAGAAACGATAGTAGTAGTAGCAGCACTGGCGAAGAGTGGCTGTGCGCTAGCACTAAAGTTCCATCACCAAGAGAATGTAAGTAGGACTGTGTTCCTGACTAATGATGTTCATTTACCAGACTTCACTATCTTTGACTGAAGAATGAGTATGTCTAAGGCGTAGCTAAACTTCTTGTTCTGCTTAAGTTTTAGTAGTATAGATGAATTGCCCTACGTGCATTACTTCACCAAAAATATGAAGCCTACAGTATCCGAGAAGTGGGGAGCTTTGAAAAACAGCTTAAAATTGACAAATCTTTGTGTTCTGAGCGTTTTTCTGTAATTCCGAATAATGAGTATTTCTTAGGCTTTCCAAATTGTTATTTATATCCATTATATCATATTAAATATTTGATCTCTGCATGGCGACATGTCTTGCAGCTTGACCAAATTGCAGTGTTTAAAAGCTCGTTAAAGAAGTAAGATTATAGCCGCGTACATCATCAGCGACTGGTGAAATGGGACAATGGCCAGAATAAAGAGTAATTAATCGTAAGCTCTAAAAACTGGAGCGATCGGAAATTCCCGGCTACTTTTGCTGCTGTAGCTCAAAAGTCAAAGATTCCTTTGCAATAAATTGTTTACCATAGAGGAATATTCTAGGAGAAGCGTGACGATTAGTTTTAATTGCACCCTCTGCTGATCTTTGAGAAATCACTTCTCTTGAAAGCGGAAGTAGCGCGGTTGGAAAAAATATGTAAAATGGCTATGTCTAACAGTTGAAATCATTACTTTTTCAATAACTCGTTTTGATACTTTGAAGGCGGAAATTAAACTTCCTGCAACGAGTTGCATCATTCCAGCAATAGGCTATCTTTGCGCAGTATTCCTTCCTTATCTCTTCATTGTCTCTTTACGAAGATTATCATTCTAGTAATCAATTTGCCTCCAACAAGAATTAAACGGAAACCTGTCTCTTCCGTTTTGCTATCATCACGTAAAACAATGAAAGGTGAGTGATTTTGAAATTCTAACATTTTGCATCAGCGGAGTTTATTAGCAGTGAAAAGGTTTTCTACACCGATT